TTTCATCAACTTCAGTTCTAAAAAATATAAGTGAAACAGAATTGTTTTAAGAAGTAAGGTCATGGCATGCATTTCTCTAATATATTGAGCTGTGTGTATACCACATAGTGAAGTTTACCAATGGTGCAGTGATTTTTATCACAGAGGTGTGATTACAGCAGAAATGCCACTCTCAAGTCTGATATATTTAGTCCTCACTGAAGAAACAATTGCTGCAGATAAACTTTTCTGTGATGCAGAAAATTATAAATTTATTAAACAGCTTCCAGAGCTCTAAGAAAAATGAGCTGAAGAGAAGGATTGACCCTAATATAGACATTCTGCAAATTCTATTCCATTTTTTTTAACAATTTCATTCACCCATATCATATTTGAAAGCCCTTGCTTATTTACATCCTTTCTATAATATAACAGGTGATTTAAAAGAAAAGTTCACAATGTATGAATTATAAAAACTAGATTTAAAAGGGAAGCTGCAAGCCAATTCATTTGCATTTAGTGTGTAGTATGCTCAACATGTAACAGTACATGTAAACACAGGTTTACAATTTCATTGTAAATTTTTATACAGTATCATTTTTTGATTGTATTTAAGTTTTATGCATTCTTCAATAGTATGCATAGTTTTCATTAATGCATTTTACATAGTTTTACAGTGTATTTTTGTTCAGTCAAATTTGCAGCAGCTAATTGCATTTGTTTTTATATCGTGTACATTATGCAATTCTTAATTGATCAATATTTTAAACCCTAATATCATGTGACAGTACTGGGCTCTTGCTCGATCATTCTGGTGACCTGCAATATTCTTCACATGTTAAGAAAAATTAATCTATTCTGCTTTTCCCGTTGAACTATTTACAGCTGCTTACCCTGCTGTAAAAGCTGTCATCAATAAACAATCAATTTCCTTTGGTCCATCAGGCAAAGTCATAAAACAAATCTGTACAAAATCGCAGCATTTAACTATTTTATTTTTCTTTAAATTCTCAGATGTATGTTGGAAGAAGAGGAAAAGTTGCAGCAAATATAGCATATACAAGGATGGATCCAAAAAAAGGTTACAAGGGAAATAAAAAATTATTTATTAAATACAAAAGGCAAAAAATGCAAAAGGGAAATAAGAGGCATACTTGCCTATCATTTTTCCACATGATCATCAAATCTATTTAGGCATTTTTTCTGAATGCAGGACCAATTTGTTTAACCAGGCTTGATAGAAATCACGTCCCTGCCCATTCAGCCAATTCTCGGTAGCTATTTTCACATCACTCTCTGAAGAGAACATCATCCCAGATAAATGTTCCTTTAATTCTGGAAAAAGGAAATAATCACTGGGTGCTATATGGGAGATGAATTCAGACTTCCCACTCCAACTTTTACAGCAATTCTTGAATTTGGCGAGCAGCATGGGGCCGGGCATTACCATGCAGGAGGATGACACCATCACTCAACATGCCAGGGTACCTGCATTAGATGGCTTCACGTAACCTCGTCCAAGTGGCACAATAACAATCAGGAGTAACTGCATAGCTGCACTCCAGATAATCAATCCGGGCTCACTTCTCCAGTCAATACCACTTTTCTAAATGTTTTCCCCTTTCAATTGTTCTAACGTGTCTGTGAACTTACTCTACATACCAGCACAACTGCTCCTATAAAATTTGTGCCTCTGTCTACACTCTGGGGATAAAGCATTCCCTTCACAATAATTACTTTTCAAATGCTGATGCTTGTAATCTTTTTTGGATCTACCTACGTATATTTGGCAAGTTATTTGTCACACCTTTAAGGCAAATTACACATGGACCTGCCTTTCAGATTAATAACCATGCACTAATAATCAATCCACAAAAACAGCTCAACTGCTAATGACTACAAAAGAAATAGGGTGATCACAGGAAATAAGTTAAGAAATTCCAGATAAAATAAATAATGTTCAGTTCTTGAACAGGGCAAAAAAATGAACTAGTCAATATGAGGTTCCTCAGAAACAGTTCAGAGAATCAATCCACCCTTAACAAAGTTCTCGAAGATCTTAAACAAGGTGGCATGAAGTGCCAAGTGCATATGCGCTTCCATCACATAATCACACTGCTCCTCTTGAAGCATATAACATTTTCTTCGTATGACTTAATGCTAAAACATTTGTGGCATTTACTTGCACCCCCCCAAAACAAAACGAAAAGCTTTTCAACAATACCTAGTTTTATACAAAGTAGTATAAAAATAACTATTACATAATTCATATAAGCATTACATTTCTAAACTTATACATCAGCCAAATTTTCACGATGCTATCAAAGCTGTTAAAAAGCAACAAAACTTCCATTTAAATGGATGATATTTCATGCATCATGTTTAAACATACCCATATTTATTTTTTAGCATTGTATCTGATGTTCAGTAAAATATTAAATTTAGAAAGAACCATATGGCATGACACAGTTTTAGGATACGTAATAAATGAAACTTCACGTTACTTAGGAAAATGAAGTTCTCAGCATTTAGATGTCTAGGAGACCTTTAATATGGAAACTGATGTTTAATTTTAAGAGGTAATCCAAAATTATGATTTAGATTTTGGAGAAGACTATTTGGTAGTATTTTTCAGTTCAAATTTGAATGAAAGAATTAAAGTTATTTCCCCATCAAAAGTAATATAATAGTTATAATTTATAAAAATGAAAAGAAAAATCTGAAATTTTCAGATATATTTGGTGTTTGCAGAAAAATCTGACACTCTTGAAAGCTATGAAAATCTTCCAAAATTCAAGAAAATGATGGAAATTTGCACCACGGTAAATTTACTCTGAAGTGCCATTATATTATGAACTGCTACTTAATATGAAGTAGGACCACCTTTCGCCCTCAAAACTTTCAACAACTGGCGAGGCATTGACTCAAGAAGGTGCTGATAGGTAGTCTGAGGTATCTGGTACCAGGTAATCACCAACCGGTCCTGCAATTTCAGCACATCCACAAGGTTGTAGTGTGATAGCATGAATTCGATTTTCCAGATGGAACCACAAACCCTCAACTGGATTCATGTCAGGTGAATCTGGAGGCCAATATATGACTTGAAATTCACTAGAATGTTCCATGAATCATGTCAGTCCTTATGAAATGGTACATTATCTTGTTGGAAAATGCCATCATGCACAGGAAACACTTGTCATGAAGGTATGGGACCTCATCAACAATGATGTTCACATAGCACATAGATGTCAAGGATTGTGTTCCCTGGGAATGATGGTCCTAATGTGCCACATGAAAACATCAACCACACATAATACTGCCTTATTTCTGGCCAACTGGGTACACAGGTATAAGGGTTTCAGTTGGAAATCGGCATATTCACACTCACCATCAATGTGATTCGCTAGACCAAGTGATGTTTTACCATTCCATGGTCCAATACCCAAGTGCCTTTTGCCCACTGCAGGTGCTGTTGGTGATGATGTGCCATGAGTATAGGGATGTGGTTTGGTCGCCAGCTGCGCAGGCCCATACACAGCCATTGTATGCTGCCTTGTGTGCTGAAGCACACTGTCTACTTTGCCACTCTTGTACTCTGAGTCTGGCATCTGTAGCCCTTCGGTCATGTGGAACAATGTATAACACTCTCTGCTCTCCTCTGGAATCAATGCACTGTGGCCGAAAAACCATGGGCTGGTGACTTGACGCTTCTCCAACCATACAGCACAGTCGATAAGAGTAAGTCTTAATGACTTGACCTTTACTGAAATTTGATAAATTAACTGCTTATCCCATTATGTCGCTACACATTCTAAATGTGGAAAAACAGTACATGGGCATTTACTCCAGCATCAGCCATGCATGCGTTATTGTTTTGTCTCTTGGTGAGCTCATTGCTCTAGGTGAGGAGTGATTATTATGTAATAGCTAATATTATAAACACTGTTCTATAACATCTACTAACTTCAGACAAAATTCTTTAGCACCGACTGTTTGTACTTGTGAGTTAATTCAAGCTTCATTGTTTTCCTTGGGACTTTGAAGCAGAATTACTTTACTCTACACATTTTCACATAAATTTCATAAAAAGCAATATTCAACTTATTTAAATAATGAAAAATAATTCCACAATTACAAGAAACTTGACAATGGGAAAATAAAGTGAGATCTCTCATGACAAACACATATGAAAATGGCCAATATCTCATAAAAACATTGGTAGTATGCATCTACATTAGTTATGTTTACCGAGGCACCTCTAGATAAAATGAAAACTGTCTGTAATCATGGGTGGTTTTATCAGAAGTATCATTGTATCTTATATTTACATAATTGTAACACATAAATTGACATAATACCAATGATTCATATTAAAGGTGATGGAAAGCAACATATATTACAACAAATAATTACATGACTGAAAATAACTATAGGAAAAACCGGTCAATCAAATCAGTAAACGCCTCCCTTACCCACTCAGATAATGCGGGGAGAAAAAAATGGTGACATTCTTTTCTCATTACTTACTTTTACAAACTACTGTCCTAAGGCTGTATAGAAATTATTTTAGGGCTAAAATTAATAAGAAATGTCATTCTCAGAACACAAAATATGCTGAGATTTCTCACCAATGAAAACTTGAAGTAAAAAACTGCATACAGTTTCAGTATTTTCAATAAATCCATGTTTTACATCAGAATGACTGGTTTGTGTCTCAGAATTTTTCAAAAAAGGTTGCTAAAAATTCAATATTTGCAATTTGTCTGCATTTCAAAATTAACCTTCCCTTCTCTTGTTAAATATAAGGTATTGCACTGAATTAATGTCAGAGATAAATTTCAACATTTATATTTCAGAAATCTTTTCACAATTTGTTCTTTCCTGCAGGTTATCTTTGCATCCAAAATTTGAGGCTAACTCTCTATTATGACAATTCTACAGTGCTATATAATTATCAATATAATAACTGCATATCACATGATTATAAATGTGAGAAATGAACAACTTCATCAAAGACTTACATTTATTCCAAGTTTTGAGCTTGTGAGTTGATATGAAAGTCCAGCCAGCTCAGCAGCATATGTGTATTCATTCAGGGAATCTTTTACTAACTGGATGAACATGTAGTTCATATTATAATGCAATGGATCAATGTAAGCCATAGGGCTAAAATGAAAAATAAATAAAAATATGATTATAACAATTTTTTATAACAACACTGATATTTAAGTAACTGCAGATAATTTGCTTCATACAAACTGTTACATTAAGCAGAATTTTATTTTTGTCCACAAAGGGATAAACACCATGTGTTATAAGGTGTCACATTTTAAATAACATCTGTCATGAAATACTAAAAGGTGACAGAAAGTGGTACCATTATTTTTCAGCCTTAATTAAATGTAAAATCTCACAAAAAACATACTTTATACATGGTGGTCAAAATAAAACTGGCTTGGAAAAATAATTGGAATCCTGATGCAGAATGTACCCTTGTTCATGAACAGGAGAATTTTGCTTTACAGAAAATGCTTGCAATGGCCACTGGTGATGTTGATGTAATCATCAGTTGCTGTCACATAACTGTGCATGTTCTGTCCTGAGTTATTTTCACTGCATCATTACATTTGAGTGAATTACAGATGAAATGTATTTAGTGAACAGATGAGATGTGTTTAGATTAATGTAACACAAAAAGGTGCTCTAGATGAAAACAGTGCATGTTAAATTGTCGAGTGTTATGCAAAGCACAAATTCTTTTTGGCACCCAAAAGTGCACATACAGATACTATCCTTTTGTTTTCGTGCATCAATCCACATTTTAAGTACCATCCACATTTAAGTACATAATCCACATTTTAAGTACCATCTTGCATACAATATATGAGAGATTATGGTATTAGCGAAAACTGTGCATACCGCACTTAAGCGAAATTTCTAAATTCCAAGGTAAGAATACTAGCACCTCAATCAGCAATTTTTTAAATTTTAGCATTCACATTTGTAGAGTTTCATACTATGTATGAATATAGTAATAAGATATTTAATGTTATCTTATTACTATATTCATACTTTCACCTTTGCTCGCCTCCAGAATGCAAATTAATGCATTTACGTGCAGAGTTCTTGAGTTCCAGAAACAGCCTTTGGAAACTATGGATGACTGTCACTCTACTACTTCTTGCAGTGACTGAAATACTTAATCAGCTTTAGCTTCACTAGTAGTAATTGCTTTGTGAAAAGATTCAGGTTAAGCTAAAGTTCAGCAAGTACATTTTACTTCCTATTTAATTATTTTAATTTGACTTGAATATTTGTTCTGATTTCTGTCACGTTTTTTGCAGCCACTATTACTGCAAAGACCAGACACGTAACAACACAGAAAATAGCTATCTATTTTACCACTTGTAGCTGCAGCACATGCATAATTTAACCAGCTGTTTCCAGTCACTTTTTATTTTCTAATACCCATTTTTCAGCTACACGCTTTGTATTTTACTACTCTTTTAAAGCAGAATATTTTGAAGCAACATGATCCTGCATTATTTTCTTGACATATAATCACAATTTAAAAACAAAGGGATAGACAAAGAAAAGTATATTTTATTATTATTGCATATAATTAGGCAACACTTCTTTAATTGCTTTTTACTGTAATATTTAAATAAAATATTAAAAGCCAATGAACAATTACAGCACAACATTTGCACTTTGTCCAATAAAAATGCACAAAGTGTGCATTTATCAGCCATGTACTATTAACATTTTTAATGGATTGCTTGATAAAATCTCTAGCACTTAAAATATCTGATGTGAACAAAACATGACCTCCCTGTATGATTTGTTAAATTTTACACATCATTTAAACTCATTCTTTGAATTTCATTAGAAATATATCTCTCATTTAATCAATTCAGTTCTCACTTCATGGCAAAATAGATAAAAGCTCAAAACAACTTCCTTGAAAATTGCAAAATACAGGAAAATCAAAAATATCAAATACAATTTTAAAAAAATTTACAATTAAAATTATCAAGTTTCTACACCACACCAAGGGATTCAGATAATGGGCAGAAAGACCAAATTTTCGATGCACAAATCTGGAAGTTTACTATTACTGCGCAAAATGACCCTGAAGTTGGTGCACCAGCTGACTTATTTCACTATTCTGCTAAGTGTTTCAAATGTACACAAATAGTGGTCTCATTAGGCCTAACAGAGCTTAAATTTTAAAAATGTTGATAAATCTACAACTATGGCATGCAGATTAACTAAAGGCATAAAACCTTGAACTGGAACACAAAAATAATATAATTAAACCACTTTTAAAGCAAAAAATGTACAATTTGCCACCATATAAGAATAAAAATACTGGGCTCACTGAGCTCAGGGTCATATTCCAGGTACTTCAGTGCAATACGCTACTAAAAATTAATCAGTATTGACAAAAAGTAAGAAATTTAGAAGCAATTTCACAAAGACCCAAAAGAAGTGAAATTCAAAACCATTAAATTTTAAAATACCCTGTAAATATGTACAGAAAAGTGAAATACTAAAACCTCCAAAATTATAAAATCCAGAAAAAATACAAAAGAGAAATTCAATCAAATCTGATAAAATGTTGTAGAGACATTAGGTAAGCCAAATCCTGGTGGTAAAGAATGATCATCCACCACCTTTTAGTTTGGGCAGACATTAGGTCATTTTTATGCTGGAGACTTGAGAAAAAAGCAATGCTTTTGCTGGCACTCGAACCTGGACCTCTCGAATACGCGTCCAGTGTGCTATCCATTACACCACGAAGGCATGCAGAAAGAAGAAAGAAAATACCTTATGTTATCAAGTGAAGGATACATCAGACTCAATTGCATACCTACCTCTTAGACTTGAAAACCACTGCATTTCTGTTAGCAAAAATTAGTTGATGAACCATTCTAAAGTATTTAATTATTTATAACAATTCAGCTGAAAGTCCTCCCTGACACAGTTAAATAAGAATTCTAAGTCCAAAAATTCAATGGAAATTGCTTTTACACTTTTAACTGAAATTTGAATTGAAATAATAGAAAATTTACTCAATGGTCGCAGAATCAATAGTTTAGAGACATAGACTAATAATTCATATGAAAAAATACTAATGTTAAACTAATTAAGTATACTTTTTCACAAAATGCAAGATTAATATTGAAAAATTAAAATTAAAACGTAGAAATAGAACACTTTCATGAAATAAATACAGAATATTTTTAACCAACTACAAATTATGAAACAAAGACGAGTAGCGAAAGCATTAGAATAAAAAAGGACACCTATGTTTGCCAGTTTGGCATCACTGGCGAAACAAATTAGGGATGGCGAAAGAAATCTTCAAAATGGTGATTTAAATGCTTGTAATAATTTTTAAAAATTTTTAAAAGAGAAAACGAAGAAAAGAAATAGGGTTAGAAAAGTTAAAAAAATATCACACCATGGGCTTATGACGACTAAGAATATAGTAAGTCCTTTATTAATACATTAATAGAAAAAAATACTATAAAACTTCCTAAAACACCCTTCTTAATCTTTCTCTATTTGAGTTTTCAGATAAAAATATTTCATACTAAAAAATATATATATATATATAGGTGTAGACCTACTTCAGATTTTTTCAAAAGACTGTTAATGAAGTTAATTGGAATTTCTAGAAAGAATAACAATTTCTTTTTGTTGTTGTTCCATATCAGTGCAAATGATTTTTAAATCTGTTAATTTGATTAGAAATTGCATTTGCTATTACTTTTTTAGATATATTGGAGTACCAATTTATAAGTTTTCTTGTAGAAAAATTAAATTCTCTTAATCAAATAGTCTAATTTCTTTGAAATTATGAATGCTAAGATCTAGATAATCTATTGTTAACTGATTTTTATTGGTTTTATTAAGTTTTAGACGGTTGGGTTAGATGTTTCTAATTTCAATATGATTATTATTGTTGGAAGTGATAATATCATCAATATATTTGAAAGTGTGTTCAAAATTATTGAAATCATTATCAGAAAGATTTTTAAGACATTTTTATTCTTTAGAAAACTAATATAGTTTGCATAGACGAGTTGATTAAAAATTTCCCATTGGAATCCCATGTGTTTGTAGGTAGAGAAATTTTGAATGTTTTATGCAGTTATTGAAAAGTGAGAAATAAAAGATTTTCTTTTCGTTTTTGCAAATCCAAAACAGTAAGCATTCCAGGAAAAAAATCTGGTAGCTCCAGAAGACTTTCACAGATTTCTTTTGAGTGGGAGAGACGTGTAAAGATTTTCAAAATCATAGTAGTTAATATTGTAAAATTTTAGATTTTTAACTTTAACAATAATTCACAAGTTGTTAATAATCTAACAGTAGTTTTTATCAGCATTAGCTTTATCAAACACTAAATTACATGTTGATTTAAGTACATGTTTGGTCCAGCCAATTGCAATGAAAAAGGGGAGGTGCAGAGCTACATGTCATAAACAGTCTTATATACAAAATTTCAACATTCTATGGCTACTCGTTTTTGAGTTATGCAAGATACACACACATATCATACAGATGCCACAAAAAAACAAAAAAACTTCAGAATCCATTTTGCGATCCGTTTTGGAAAAAAAAAAGTCCTCCATTCTGTCCGTACATACAGACGTTATGCAAAAAAATTACTCAAATGGGTTTGAGAGCAGACAAAATGGCTATTTTCATTGAAACATAATACCCGAATTTTTCGCGATTACAATATTTCTCTTATTTCATACAAGGAAATAAAAAGTTGTTAATAAAATTTTTAAAAAGTTTTTTTTCTATAAAGATACATCAGTTTCAGGATGGAACAGTTATATGCAAAAAAGATCTTTCTTTTCTTAACTTTGAGACTGTTTTTCTACTTTGTATCATCAAGTAATTAGCACCATGTGTTCTAGAATTAGATCCTTTGTGTGATGTTTTATCAATGAATGTAATAAGTACTATGTGCACACAAAAAAGGGAAATGTTTTGATGCAAATAGTTTGCAAAGAGACTGATGATAACTATAATCCCTTGAAATTCTAGTGGCTGCAGTATTGCCATTCTACTTCCATTAACATTTAGTGTCACTTGATGATAGTTAACCTGATGCTGAAAATGTAATTAATTTCATTAAAAAGATTAAATTCATTACCATTCTTGAGTTATCATTAAAATTTATTATAATGATACATTATAATTCATAAGACTTGTGTTTATCATTATAAATCATTATCAAACATTGTTAAGCACAGTTGAGTGAAAACTCCCCTAAACACGAAATATTTTAAGAATGCTTCATTAAACAATATCATCTCAAATTTAGTACCACTTTGCCTCATCTTTTAATTACTTGCACATGTATTGGGAGAAACATCAAGATAAAGTACAAATAGAAAAATCCCAACTCAAAAACAGTAGCCTCACATTTTATCTGCAATATGCCTGCAGCAAAGACAACCAGAAGAGAGGGAAAAATATGGTATTATAGAATAAACACCAAACACTACTATGCATGACACTTATTTTCTAAATGATGTACAAACAAAATTTAAATTTAGCATAATATTTAACTCATACCTCTCAAATTCAAAATTTAGACAAGCCTTTGGTAGCAAAAACTGATCATCTTGCTTGAACCATAAACGCCCCATTATAGTGTTCTGGGAAATAAATAGCATTAATACAATTATTTGGATCAGATAACACTGTCTAAAAACTAAATATTCTTTACTTACTTTAATCAGCACAGGATGTTTGTTAACCTGGAAAAAATTTTAAAAATGGTTAAAAAAAAAAGAATTAATGTGAATGAATATAAAAGCAGCTTTAGAAAAATTAGATCCTTACTTCTTTTTCTCTGGCTACCAATTTAAAGTCAGAAGGTATAAATTCATTTGGAGGAGGCAATCTGAACTTAGGATGAGGTTCAACCTTCCTCCATTTCTGAAAGATAAGAAAACTATTATAGTTATCCAATTTCAAGAAACATGTATTCATGTATTTTGAGGAAAAAATACACCTCATAAGAAATAAATAGAAATAATTGTTTTAACAAATTCTTAATTGTTACACAAATTTATGCCTTAACTTCAACAATATTTCAACTAGTGCAATCTTAACAAAGTTTTACACACTTTTTCTTTTCCATTGTCAGCAGGAGTGAACTGAAAAAGTGTATATTACCTCCAGATGGATATAAATCAAAGGTTTTAGCTAGACAGCAAAAACATACGTTTCATAAACAATCTAAATGCTTTAAAGGATTAAAAAGATAATTAAGGAGACATTACTGATGATTTCTGGAATAAAACTAAGAGCACACAAAAATGCATTTAACACTAAAAAATGCATAAGATGTGCATCACATTTGATTACAAGAAATATTTCACCATAATTCAAGATTAATAACAAAGAAATTCTTCATAACTGTTCCTTGATCCCTTTTTATCAGAAGCACAATATATAAAAAATATAATCTGAGCAGGGAATTACAATGGTTTCTTAAAGTTAAGCAACAAATAGAAAATTAATAACTTTAAAATAACTCTCAGCAAGGAACATTGGATGAAACTTGACGATAATATTTATTACATCACATTTAATTTAAAGACACAAGAAAATGTTATTATTACATTACAGAGCATTTACATTTTGTGATATAAAAATGAACATAAAATCTCCTAAATTCAGATATACAAATTAAATAAATAAAAACATTCTCAATAGTTAAAATGATCATCACGAGCAGCATTACAGGTTTAATAGCAATATCTCGTTCTGCTTATGATACCAATCAACAGCATTAGTAGCAATGCTCATTGATCACATAAAGCAGTTCTAAGCCTCTAATGTTTGGAGGCTAGCAGCATGCATCCCGGAACATTCCACACATGCTTAATGGGCTTAAGTGTACTTGGCTATCCCATCTGGACTACAGTTTTTGCTTAAAGAAAATGGTGCACAGGGAGAGCAGTATGACGGCACTTATTATCTACTTGCAAAATGAAGGTATCACCAATTGCAGCAGCACACTGACAAACAATAAGATTTAATATGTCATCTCTGCATCAGCAATGACTGTTTCATGTGACAGCACACTCAAAATACTCCTCCCTAAACAAGAACACTACCTTCTGCATAGTCCTCTTTTTCCCATATGTGAGACACAAGATATGAAGTATTTGCTTCTCTCCTCTCCATACGTACATTGAGAATTACTCTGTAAAGCAAAACGAGACTCATCAGAGAAGAGGAAAGACCACTGATTTTCAGTCCAGTTTTACAAGACTACACAAGTGCTCAATAAAAATGATCCCTCTGGTGGTAGAGGGTAAGTGGAAAAAACAATGCTGGTCACCTAGCATACAAACCTTTTTTCATGCAGCCTTCTGGGTACTCTAGTGGCTGACCTTTTCTTTTTGTAGTCGAAATAAGCGATCTCAGCTGAGATGGAATTGCAGTCCTACTGCAAAATTCATTAAGTCACAAATACCAGTCATCTGAAGAAGTAACCCCTGGCTTACCTTCAGCAGATCTTCTATAGGCTGAACCAATAGTTACAAATTGGTATGGCAACCAGCACAATTCTGTTGGTAAAAACAGCTGATTTGAAGCTGTATCGTATTTATGTAAAGCGATGGCAGTACCAATCTTTTGCATAATTCTACTCGACACAGCTTGACGTTATTTGTAATATATTAGAATTACAAACTACTTTAAGGCGATGTCTCTTGATTTTCCAATTTATTGCTTAAATTTTGGAAATCAGTCTACAATGCTAATCATCAAATTCTTGGTAAGTGCAGAAGTTCTTGTATAAAGATTACATAATATAAATAAAATTTTTTTCTATCCTTTTTTTCTTTTTTTGAAGTGCTTAAAGTTTATTCATCTCAGATCATTCAGGACTTTCAATTTCTTAAGAACTATAGCTACTGAGCAGAGAAATACATGATATGTTACAAGCCCCATTTCAGTTGGGTGACAGTAAGCTTTAAAGTGCCAGACTGATATAATATAATTCAAACAATTTACCCTCATTACATTACAGCAATATTTTTTAAACTATGGGTTGCAGCCTCAAATGGGAATGTGAAAATTTATTTCACATACACAAATTTAAAGAAATTACATTACTGAGAATTTTTTAAGGAGATTGCATTAATTGAAATTAATGAGATTAATAACCCACTAAAGCCCAATGTGAATTTTTTTAGCTGTTGAATGACTCAAAACATGGATTTCCATAATTTCTAATGTAGCATTTAATATTTTGCTATTTGGATGCACATATTTATGTTAAAATGACTTTTATCAGTTTAAGCATTTACCCAAATGCTGTTAAACACTGAGAAATACTAATGCTTATGTCCAGCAGTGTCAAATACCATACCAAGATTTATTTGTTATGCAGCAAAAAACAAGCATATCCATCTCATTAAAATCTGATTTTCTTTCATCATTTTTGTATAGTTAAAACTAATTATAAAACTATTACTTTTCCTATGTATATTGTTTAGCAAATAAGTGAAATATTTATGGGAAAATATTCACTTTTATATTTTAATTCTATATTTAATATCTCAGATCTAAAAAAAATCTCAATGATAAAAAGGGGTTATGAATGAAAAAGTTTAGGCACTGCATTAACCGGCGGGAAAGCGCGTGGGGTGTATCATACCCCACCCCTACATAAAACTGGAATGAATATTCCTAACTTGTGAAACTGAAATTCTATGCTGCTTTCAGTAGCTGAGTTTCTAGTTGTGGCTGACGTTTAGAACCACTTTTTCTTTGCCTGCGTGTTTCAGAAAAAGATTTATCGGTATTTTGTTGGAACTGGGGTATGATACACTCGACGCGCCTGTCTGCGTAAGTGTTTTTCTGACTGAATATTTAGTTCAGAAATTTATTTTTAGAGTGTAACAGTAAATATTTCTACTTGCAAGTGATTTTAAAGTACTTGACATTAAATTCTTAAACATTTTTAACTGCATTATGATAAAAAGAATGACTCCCTATGGCGATGAAGCTTGCATTTCGGAAACTAAAGATGAAACTAGGAATATTTTCTACACTGTTTTGGTTTCAAAAAAGATAAAACATTAATTCCTGATGTTCGTAAAAAAGGAAAGACTGTTCTTATGCTTTCAACATTATATAACGATCATACTATAGATGATACTATTGGAGAAAATAAAACGTCAAGAATTATATGTTTTTATAATATGACTAAAGGAGCAATGGATATGGCGGATGAAATGTCAGACAATTATTCAATTGCCAGAATAACAAGGAGGTGGCCAATGGTAATTTTCTTTCCTGCACTGAATGCTGCTGCAATAAATACTTGAATTATATTACATTCAACTGCTAATCCACCAACCAGAAACAGAAGTCTGTTTTTGAAGGACTTAGCATTACAGTTAATGAAAAAAGTATTGAACAAGGATCGGAGATTAATACTTTACCAAGAAACTAACGTACTGCGTGCAAAACGAAAGCAGAAGTTTCAACGAAGAATTAAAACGAATACATGAAATTCGAAACAACTAAGTATGAAAGATGTGATAAATTTTTTGCCCTGACGCCAAGGACAGAAGAACGTGTATGGAATGTTTAAAATGTGAAAACATTCTGTGCCAAGAGCACATGAATGTATTTCGTTCAAAGTGTGAAGAAATAACAGAAGCATTGTGTATTAGAGATGCAATGAAACTTGGAAGCATGATGTTTATTTTTTTAATATTTTCATTTATCTTAATTTTAACTCTAAGATTATTTTGGAAATTAATTTTTTGAAACCCAATTATTATTCACGGATTTATAATACACGAGAACAAGAAAAACAGCTTTAAAACTAAATAAAACTATTTTTATCGTATGTTAAATATTGGGATATGTGATACCCCACGCACCCACTCTAGTAACTTTTCTTGGTGCGACTTCCGCCGGGTTAAAGCAATAAATGCATTATGATAAGTCATATTTTGTATTATGCAATATAGATAGCCTGATGCTTAGAAACCTAAATTTTATTCAAGGCATTTGTGATTTATCTCAAAATATGAGTTCAAAACATGAAATTTATGTTAAATTTGGAGAGTGACTTACACTAAAGGAGTTTCACCAACCCAAATAAAGTCAACTTTCTATTTACAAGAGGCAGGTTAACAGTAACTATTGCAAAAAAGTAATTGCAACTAAAAATCTAACTTTGTTTCACAGAAACTTTTGTTTATTGTGAAATAACAGAAACATTATTTCTTGTGTTAAATACTGATTTAATTTGTGTCCCCAAAAGACCTTATTCTCCACATTAAACAGCTTGAAAATACAAAACTGCTTGAAAACAGAAGGAAATTGTTAATATCATTTTTCATTAATAATATGGATAACAGCTCCCATTTTTTAACTGCACTAATTAAATGCAATTTTGAGTTTACTCTGAATTTTGTTCCAGGTATTACCCAGGTAAATCAGAAGGTGACTGAACATGGGTATAAATTTTAGTCCTTTGTGCTATAATTTTACCAGTTAAAATTATTGACAATAAAAACAACGCACTTCTAATATTTCTTCTTGTATTGGTACCAGTTTATACTTAGTGCCATACCACTTCTCAGTAAGATCACAAATAGGTTCAAATTTTTTTCCAAAACAACAGCAATCCTAATTAAAAAAAAAAAAAAATATATATAGATATATATATATATATATATATATATAATATATATTAGTAATATACAGTCAAAAATTTAACTTAAAAATTTCAGATTACAGTCTAACATTTCGGAGTTTATAATTAATGTATCAAAAAGTGAATACATATTAAAAAAATTAAAATATAAAATTCATAAACTTAAGAAATTGCAATGATTCAGTTTTATTAACTTTTAAATAAACTGCAATTATACATTTTTAAAGAAATTTGTTTTAAAACATCAAAACATGAATCTTTGCATCATTCCTTTGTAAATCTAGGAAAAGAGAATATAATACCAAATAAAGAGCATGTGTGTTATAATTGTGATTTTTCTCCCAATTGAAATTTATGCATGTCAGTTTCAAACATCAGCTGATAGGAAATAGCATCAGGGCAAATGACAACATATTGACTGATACTGTATTGATATTGGTCATGAACACACTTTTAGCTTTCGTGTGGCTGCACATGTGTGTGTGGGGAAGGGGTAGAATTTTTCTATTCAATTTAAATAATAAGTGAAGTGCCAAAACGTATTGGTTTGGAATGAGATGCTGCTCATACTGGTTTTCTTCTGGCGGTATAGTGGAAACAAAGAGGAAACATTCTGACTAATTTAACTTTAGTGGACACAGCAAACTGTAATCTTCTTCAATTTACTAATTTGATAAAGCTTATTATTAATTACACTAGCTCATCAAAATTAAGTTTTGAATTTTCAATTATGTTGAAAATAGTCTTATTCCGAAGTTGCAGATGGATCTGGAAATGTTTTGATGTCAGTTAGGCAAAAAGTGGAACTGCTGCAAAAAATGAATGAAGGCATATATGTCCCAAAACTATGCAAGGAGTAAAGCACTTGAAGTCAAGACTAACGCAACATAAACGAACAAACAAAACAAAAATGTTTCCCTTCAAAATTTTGTTGGAATCTCACACCCCACTTGTAATGAATAACAGAAATTCATTCATTATTTAAAAGTGGCAACTGTATTGGAGAGGCAGTGTCACAGCAAAGGTGTGCCATTGATGGGTTCAATACTAATGGTACAAGCCAAAATACGAGGACTATTCAGAAAGAACTTACATTTCGCCACTGCGTGGCAAGAGGTGGTACTAGCATCCCTATCTTGGTGTCACAGTGTCTACTGAATCCTTAAGCATGTGGTTGTAATCATTGGTGGTAAGTGTTGCCTCTGTTCCCTGTGAATGTTTAAAATGTGTGCAGCAATAGAAAATCTCCCCCAGTTAAGAAGTGTGATTAGATTTTTGGTTACAAAAAGAAACTGAGACCAGTTGAAATTTATCGGGAACTTTCTACAATGTATGGAAACAGGATGCTAAAGTCAGAACCCTTGTCCTGGAGATTACCTTACCGGTGTTGAGATATCCAGACTCCAGAGACTCAACGGCGGCACAGACCCCACAGTCCCTGCCCGGCTTTTCGTTGGAACTTAATACAGGAAAAGGTCCCTGTGACATCTTTGCCTTGGGGCACCACTCCCTCAGCATCGAATAAATTCGTTTCGGTGTCTTGCCTTATTCTGTCAGTCCCCATCACTGGGACTATGTAATGAGTGAAGCCGGAGTAAGACAATGGTGCGACTTGTTTAGAAATGGCTGCACTAATGTTCATGAGGAAGCGTGAAGTGGAGTGTGTGTGGAGAATCAGTGTTCTAAGTGTTCTTCTGATTTTGTTCGCTGTACTAATTGCAAAGAATACAATCGACGTTTCAGTACTAAAATAGAGAAACATGAGAAACATGATGCTCTTGCTAAGGAATGTCCTGTGTATTTGGAAAAAATTAAGATTTATTAAGGATCATCTTGATATATAAAGTTTATTTTATTTATTTTGGTCGGCTGGGTCATTTTAAATCATTGTCCTTATTTGTGATTTACATTTCTGCACTTTAGTGAATTTTTTTATTTAAAAGAATTTTCCCTTACCTTTCATTTTGATCTTTTACGCACAGTGACTGTTCTAGATTTTGTTTATAATTAAGCTAGAGACTGTGATTTTATGATTTTAATTTAAAAAAACTTTTTAGTTGATTATACCAATTTTAGTATAAAATATTTGCAACAAAGTAGTAAACTCATATTTTATCTTTATTATATATTTATATTCTTTTTACCTTCTGAAACCCTTTTTATCTATGAAAATTTTAAACTGTAATTTAAATCACTGTGCTGCCGCTGCTTGTAGGCTCTCTGCAATTGATACCATTATCAAAGAAACACTAGACGTTATTACTTTACAAGAGCCCTATTTATGTTCAAAATAAAATTGCGCATGCCCTTTGGGGACTTGGAGAGTTGTGCATGCAGAAATGGGTAGAACCGCTATCATTATTACTAAGAAGCAAACTTGAACTTTGTAGTGGACGTAGTACAAGATTGTATTGTGGCTGTCTCTACGTCTGATGGTCAAAATAACGTTTGATGGTAAAATAACCACGTCTGATGGTATTATTTCGGTTTATTTCCCACCGGTGGAGGATTTGAATGCACATTTATACGCTTTAGAAAACGTTTTAAAATTGTACAATTTTAACTTTATAATATTAGGTGATTTTAATTCTAAAAATTTTAATTGGGGTGCTACGGCACTGAACCAAAGAGGTATTTTAGTTTATGATTTGAAACTTTTCAACAAAGATGACTGACCTCCGACTTTCTCCTCCCCGGTGGGAATTGGTTGGACCGATTTGATATTAGGGTCACCATGTATAGATTTTAGCTCTGTGGAAATGAACATTTTAGATGAACCTATCCTGAGTGACCATAGATATATTTATGTTGATTTAAATGCTATAAAAATTAATAATTCATACGAATTCTCTTATTCTTACAATTGTTTAGAATGAAAAAATTTGTCAACAAACTGAAAATAGACATAATGAAACTTGAAAATGAACTCGTGACCGTTAGAGATGGAGACAGTTTGAATAATGTGGTCCTCAGGCTAGAAAAAAAGATTAAAATAAACATGAATAAATTTTTAAGATGTAAAATAAAGAATGGGTGTCAGAGGACAACCTGGTGGACCCCTAAATAAGATATTTTTAAAACATAAGACAAAAGCTGCAAGAAAAAGTTCTCAGATAAAGTGCCTGGATGTGGAGACAAGATTACAAAGGAAAATTAATTACAAGAGTTTTAGTGGTATTTAAAAAAGCAATTAAAAACAAGATTTATTATGACAAATTTTATAAATATGCCACAAATAAAGGAAAGGGAAAAGTTATTTTATATAGAGATAATTGTAGTGTATCCACGTCTGCCATGGAATGTTATGATGAGTTGATTAAATACACCGAGGCTGGATTATTGTTCTAATTATCCTGATTATCGAAATATTTTTATGGAAGGCAACAAGAAGGTACAGCGGGCGTTTACTTATGAAGAGATATTTGATGTTATTTCTAGCCTCAGAGATGGCACTGCCCCTGGACTCGATGGAATTGAGACTACTTTAATTAAGAATTCTTTTGGGGGAATTCAATTCTTTACAACAAATGTATGATTTTAATGACTTTTCCTGATACTTGGAAAATTGATTCTTGTTCCTAAATCTACAGGTGGACATAGACCCATCTGCCATGTGTGAAAATCCTAGATAAACTCATCACAAAAAGACTTGAGCATTTTTTAACGAAAAATAATATCAGTTCAAATCAATATGGTTTTCGAAAGAATATGTCTACTGATTTAGCATTATACAATGTGACCCAACAAGTCAGAGAAAAGCAACAAAGTAAACATGTAGCCCTGGTTTCCTTCGATGTCCGAGGGACATTTGACTCTATTAGCTGGTTCTCCCTACTGTCTATATTAAAAGAAATCGGCATCTCAAGAGATCTATTTGATATAATTAAAAGTTATCTGGAGAGTAGAGAACTAATTTTTATATACAACTCTAATCAGGCATGAAAGTGCAAGTTGGCAAAAAAAGCTGAACGCACGGACACAAAATTACACAAAAACTAAATGCGCACGCGCGACCTCCCCTCCCCCCCAAAAAAAACATTTTAATACAATATCAACCTTTTAATATAGAAAGTATTAAACATATAATAACTAAATAATACTTGTACTTATATTTTGCTATTAATTTTATCTCCCACTTGTAAAAAAAAAAAAAAATCATAATCACCAAGAGATTGTATGATTCACCTTCTTTAAGACCTTTTATGCAACTTAACAGTTGATGCATGAATACTGTACACAACATTACAACACCACTAATACATATCATGTTATATTACTGCCCATTTTCATGCAATGACAAGTTTTAGAGATAAAAAATATATATAACTGTTACTATAGCTTTCAATTATCTTCCCTTTTAGTTTCAATAACAGTACTTTATACAACACCAGAAAAGTAGTCGTGAGATAATATAGTTACAAATAACATATAGTAAAGGGAATATAAAAAATAACTATTTGTTTGTCTCACTCGATCCTGATTAAAAATTTTTAGGGAAAAAAGCTTCTTCTTTTTTGCTACTTTTGCAGCCAACTTTTCTAATTTCCGTTTGTGAGCTAGTTTCACTTTCTTTTCAGCAGCTTTTATACAATCCATTGATACTTTTTTATTTTCTACAATGTTTAATTGGTTTTTTCCAGATTCTCGCTCCTCCTTTTTTACCTCTAGCTCTTCTCTGTACAGTTTATGAGCATTCCTTAAATTTTTACATAGAGTTTTGTGTACTGGAGAATGCAAGTGGTTATCCATATGACCGACAGATGGCGCCAGGAGTGATCACTGAAATTATTGAAGTCAGCTCTCATTTGACGGTTGCTTGCTCTTCCTTGATTCGATATTCGTACACATCTAGTTCCGCCTTTCCACATAAGGCCCATCTACTTCACCTTGATGTGAAACAATGTATTTCGCGATCTTTGGCATGATGTAAAGTTTTTTTTAAAGAAAAGAACAGAGAGTACGCCCTCCATTT